CAAAGTTACCTATGATTTTTAGACGCTCAAGGTGGTGTAACCCCTTAAGAAATTTAATTTGATCGATGCATACAATTTGCTTTCATATAGTATGACGGTAATTTACACATATCATTCGTTATACTGGCATTATCAACCAGGCATCAACGGATTTTTGGAAGATTCATATAGAGTTTACTCTCGTTCTCGTTACACTGGAAACGTCAAAAATTATTAACATTGCTGAAGATTTAAAGTGAATCGAAACGTCCATGGAGTAGACAATTATGAAATAAATTAATACAAGATTTCAAGACTATACATGCGCCTTACTTACCGCGCGAAAAACTCTCATTAGCCTTTTGTTCCTATTTAATTGACAATTTCGAGAGTTCATTACTTCATGTATCTTTTAAAAGTATATTTTTTTAAGAAAGATACTCAAACAATTATGACGGTGTTGTCGCTCAATAACGACGGCTCTTATGCTTTTATGTTTGCTAATAAAACGTATACTATATGCTTATACAATCGGTTCCTTTGTACATTTAATTCTAAACGAAAATGGTTGGTAAACATTTTTGATATTTACTATATAAACATAATAATTGTTCGATCATTATTATAGGCTTGACTAACAAATGATTTTATTACATTTCAGTTGTAGCTTTATTATTGTTTTAAAGCTAACATTCGTAAAATAATTATGTGTGCGCGCTTTTTGACAAACTCAGTGTTATATTATCAAATTTACTTCATGAGCATTTTAATGGTACCAAGAAGGTGTATTTTACACCATATATTTTAGGAGATAAGACTCACGTTGCATTCATCCGATTTATTAAATGGAGCACCCAGATATAATTAACCTTTGTAATAGCATCTTTTTCACGATCCTTAAAATCAGTCAAATGATTGACCGTGTCAGGATATGTCATCTGCAAAGATGAATAAATATTTCTACAAATATTTTCGATGAATTTTGAATAAATCTAATATTAAGCTACATTTGGTGTTATTTTTTTTTTTATTATGATGCTTGTAAATAAAATATTTTTGATTATATATTGTTGATATAAGTGTGTTTCTTTGTACAATATATATAATAAAGGAATGTTAAACGTACCACAAGACAAGATTTAAGAGTTGTCTGTTGAAGATTCCTTCTCCGTGCCGATGCCACGTCAAAAGTATTCATTCGTAAACCATTCTTAACCGACCAGTTTCCGCGATTTTCCCATATTACTGTTCGTTGTGGACTTGGGCGATACACAGATGTCAGCTGAAGAAAATCATCACCGAACCGTTGAGCGAGGACCACGTCACTATCGGGATAGACAGCTAGATCTTCAAAGATCTCTAAGTTATCATACGTGGAAGTTATGTTGGTGTTATCAATCGGTATTCTTCGATCTTGAACGAGTAGCCATTTTGTCGGGGCGACGAACATTCTCTTCGAATGCGCCTATAGCATAATGTCAAATAAATTATTTATTAATTTAAAGATGACAAATAATTAATTATAGTTCTACAGTTATATAAATGATAAAAGAACTTCTTATAAAGGTACCTACTCATGGGCGCGTCATTTGACGGGCGAGTCACGCTTCATAATTTATCACAATCTTTCTTTGTCGGAAACAGTTACAATTTTTGGTCCGCAGGTTTTTACTAAGGCATGAACTTTTAAACAAAATTTTTTTTA